GATTATTGGCTACTCGATTTACATATATTATAGAGTGACTGATTATTTATTTACGTATGGTATAGAGTGACTGCTTGTACATAAACACCTCTGGACATTTTAGAATCTAATGGGGCCTATGTACATTCCATGGTAAATATATGGGGTCGATTGTGGAGTAAGTGTCCCGTGTATATGTGTCATAATGATACAGAAGGAGGCCATTTGGCCTATTGAGTATATGCTGGCTCCCTGTAGAGTATTCCAGTCAGTGTCCCTAGCCCCTGTCCCTCCATCCACTTCTCTTTTGAAGGCATTCATCGTCTGTGCTTCCAAGCCCCTTGGTTTCTGCAATTTCCAGTTTATTAGCACTCACTGCATAATGATCTTTCTCCCTCACCGTCTCCTCCTCCAGTTTCTTCCTGCCTCGCCCTCGTCCATGCATCATGAGCTCCTAGGAACATCTTTTCCCTGTTCCCTTATCTAAACCCGTTATTATCTTGCCCACCTCAGTCACAGCTCCCCTCAATCTCCTTCGCTCCAAGGACACCTACCTCAGCTTCTCCAACCTTTGACCTTGTTGCTAAAATTCCTCAGCCCAGGGATTGTTTGGGTAACTCTCCCTGTGTACCCGCTTGAGGACCCTCTCATTTTCCCTAAAGTGCGGTGCCCAGGATTACTCCCGTTCGGAGCTGAACGCAAAGGCTCAGGGTCATTCCCCTGCTGTTGTACCCCATATCCCTATTTCTGAGGACCACGATGCGTGAAACAATGGTATGCATTTATTGTGGAATGTGCAAAGACTGACAAACTTAAGAGCAAGAGCCATTCTTTAAAAATGTGGTCGAAAACACAATATTGTGAGAACTACAACATTGCTGCACGAAAGGCAGTAATATTGAGGAACAGGACAGGGTGGCATGGTGGCTCAGTGGTTAGCACTGCTGCCTCACAGCACCAGCAACCCAGATTTCATTCCACCCTCAGGTAACTGTCTGTGTGGAATGTGCACGTTCTCTCCGTGTCTGCATGAGTTCCCTCCGGGTGCTCTGGTTTTCTCCCACAGTCCAAAGGTGTGCAGGTTAGGTGGATTGACCATGCTAAATTGTCCCATAGTGTCCAGAGATAGAATCATAGAATCCCTACAGAGTGGAAACAGGTCCTTCGCCCCAACAAGTCCACACTGACCCTCAGAGCATCCCATCTCGACCCCATTCCCCCTAATCTACACACCCCTGGACACTATGGGGCAATTTAGCACGGCCAATCCACCCTAACCTACACGGGTTTGGACTGTGGGAGGAAACTGGACCACCCGGAGGAAACCCACGCAGACATGGGGAGAATGTGCAAACTCCACACAGACAGTCATCCAAGGGCGGTATCAAACCCGGGTCCTGGTGCTGTGAGGCAACAGTGCTAACCACTGAGCCACCATGCCGCCCCTGTGTGCAGGTTATGGCGGATTGGCCATGCTAAATTGCCCTGTAGTATCCAGGGATATGCAGGCTAGATGGGTTAGCCATTGGAAATGCAGGGTTACAGGGGTAGGTATAGGGGGTGGATCAATATGGAACCGATGGGCTGAATGGCCTGCTTCCACACTATACAGATTCTATGAGGACAGGGGTAAGTTGCAAGAACAATTTGGCAGTTCAGAGCTTGAATGTAACTGGAAAGGTAGGGGAGGCAATGGCCTAGTGGTATTATCAGTAGACTATTAATCCAGAAACTCAGCTAATTGTTTTTTCCCTGGGAACCTGGGTTCGAATCCCACCATGGCAGATGGTAGAATTTGAATTCAATAAAAGGATCTGGAATTAAGGGTTTAATTAAACCATTGTCAAGAAAAACGCATCTGATTCATTAATGCCCTTTAGGGAAGGAAACTGCCATCCGTACCTGGTCTGGGCCTACATGTGACTCCAGACCCACACAGCAATGTGGTTGACCCTTAACTGTCCTCTGGGCAATTAGGGATGGGGCAATAAATGCTGCCTAGTCAGAGACGCCCCCATCCCGTGAATGAATTTAAAAAAAGGAGCCACGTTGCTGAAATTTCGATCAGGATTGATGCAAGAATGCCAAATCTCTGATGGTCGCAACAGTTTACACTGTAGGAGAAAAAAGGTGCTGATTGGTTGGCAGCTTGACTCTGATGGGCAAAAGCCCGACGAAGCCATTCGGCCCATCGTGCCTGCACCGATTCTATCACCCCGTGCCTTCTCCTCCTCCTGCTTTTCCCTCGCATTCCTGCGCACCGCTCCTCGTGATGTGGTCTTTACCTGAATGCAGGGCAGCAATTCACCACCGCGATCGCTTGTGCGACCCTCAGCTCCCTGCTCTCTGCTGTCTCGCGGTAGTGTTGAAAAAACTCTTGTGCGTACTTCTGAAAACTGCAAAGACAAGAGAGGAACGCAAAGTTAGCCCGAGATCCACAAACCCGCCGAGGCAAGGCCTGGCTGATCGGGGAGGCAATAACACACGGGTGGCACAACTGAGGCACACTCAGTTGGAGGGAGCAGACTAATGGAGGCATTCCACTCCATGCATTATACCTCATACACTGTGGGTGCCACCATCAGACAGTTTTGTTCGACAACAATGACTGCATTTGCATAGCAGGAACTTCAGCTGGGAGCCTCCTCCAAATCAAACTCCCCCCCTCTTTATTCATGGGATGTGGGCGTCACTGACCAGGCAGCATTTATTGCCTATCCCTAATTGCCCAGAGGGCAGTTTAGAGTCAACCACATTGTTGTGGGTCTGGAGTCACATGTAGGCCCAGACCAGGTAAGGATGGCAGTTTCCTTCCCTAAAGGGCATTAGTGAACCAGATGGGGTTTTCCCAACAATGGGCAATGGATTCACGGTCATCATTAGATTCTTAATTCCAGACATTTATTAAATACAAATTCCACCATCTGCTGTGGTGGAGATTTGAACCCAGGTCCCCAGAACATTATCTGGGTCTCTGGATTAACAGTCCAGCGATAGTACCACTAGGCCATCACCTCCCCATGTTATTCCATTGCCAGAAACCACTTTGACTTACTAGTAACCTCCTGGGGATCATTGGCACCTCCCTGGGTGGGTACCAATATTGGGGCTGGAGTTCCTGCTACATAAATGCAGTCGTTGTTGTTGAACAAAACCCTCTGATGTTTGCATGCACATTGTGTAGTGAGCGCGCGCGCGCACACACACACACTCACACACACAAATCTATCCATTCGTTTACTCCCTACCCCATTCCCCTCCCCTTTTTTTTGCATATAAACCATCAGTCACCACCTGTTCTGAGGGAGGGTCACTGGACCTGAAACGTTAACTCTGTTTTTTTCCCTTCACAGATGCTGCCAGACCTGCTGAACTTTTTCAGCAACTTCTGTTTTTGTTCCTGATTTACAGCATTCACAATTCTTTCAGTTCGTATTGTGTAATGCACAGTTTGAGTTACCATATATGTGTTATTCCTATATGTGTTGAAACATGCTCTATTCACCCTTATCATAGAGTCATACAGCATGGAAACCGACCCTTTGGTCCAACTAGTCCACACTGACCTTGTTCCCAAGCTAAACTAGTCCCACCTGCCTGCCCCTGGTCCATATCCTTCCAAAACTTAGATAACAAGGTGTAGAGCTGGATGAACACAGCAGGCCAGGCAGCATCAGAGGAGCAGGAAGGCTGACGTTTCAGGCCTAGACCCTTCCCTCCAAACCTTTCCTATTCATGTACTTATCCAAATGTCTTTTAAACGTTGTAACTGTACCCACATCCACCACTTCCTCTGGAAGTTCATTCCACACATGAACTACTCTCTGTGTCAAAAATTTGCCCTTCATGTCCTTTTCAGATCTTTCTCCTCATCTTAAAATTATGCCACCGAGTTTTGAGCTCCCCCTACCCAGCTATTCACCTTGCCTATGCCCCTGATGATTTTATAAACCTCTGAAAGGTTATTTCTCAATCTCCTATGCTCCGGTGAAAAACATTCCAGCCTACTTTTAGAACTCAAACCCTCCACTCCTGGCAACATCCTGGTAAATCTTTACTAAACCCTCTCCAATTTAATAACATCCTTCCTACAACAGGGTGACCAGAACTGGACACAGTATTCTGGAGGAGGCCTTGCCAACATCCTGTATAATCTCAACATGATGTCCCAACTCCTGCACTCAAACGTAACTACGGCCTGTTTGATAGTACTCTTGGCTTTAAGTGTGGAGGTTCAAATCTTGCTTGTCAGGCCTACATGTGACTCCAGACCCTTAGTTGACTCTTAACTGCCCTCTAGGCAATTAGGGATGGGCAATAAATGCTGGGCCTAGCCAGAGAGCTACACATCCAATGAGGAGTAACAAATACTAATTTACTTTACATTACTAATTTATGTTCTGGGGACCCAGGTTCGAATCTTGCCACAGCAGATGGTGGAATTTGAATTCAATAAAATGTCTGGAATCTAATGATGACCGTGAATCCATTGCTGATTGTCGGAAAAACCCATCTGGTTCACTTTAGGGAGGGAAATCTGCCATCCTTACCTGGTCTGGCCTACACGTGGCTCCAGACTCACAGCAATGTGGTTGACTCTGAACTGCCCTCTGGGCAATTAGGGATGGACAACAAATGATGCTCTCATCCCGAGAATGAATAAAGAAAAAAAAACTAATTTACTGTGACTGTTTAAAAACCAGGGGTTGTCCATGGTGTGTTCAGCAAAGTGGGGGGAGTGGGGGTAAAAGGTGATTAGGGTTGGTGAGGATTCGGATTTGAGGTTACAGTCAGACCCCAGCCATGAACTGAGTTGCATGGCAGGCACTTGAGGGGCTCCTGGTTTGTGACAGGACAATGGGGCTGCCATGCTGAGAGCTGGCAGGTCTGGGCCGAATGGCCTCCAGCTGACCCAAAGACTCTCTATCTGAAGAGAGTTATACAGGTCACTGGATTAAAAGTTAGTGAAGTGGATCACCAACAATACTGAATATTAACTGGACAGAACAGGAACTGCGAAAGAATAATAAATGACATAACCTGTTACCTCAGGCGCCTTTTGTGTAGTGTTAAGCGAAAAGCCAAAAGGAACATTAAATCTACAATTCCCACAGATAATTGGTAATTAGTTCAATTACTCTCTCCCTACCCATTCCTCCCAGGAATTAGAGAATGTGTAATGAACATTGGACACTGGAAGACCAAAACCGTTATAAGGTTTTCTATGAGTAAACGTGATTCAGTATTCAATTTTTAGGCAGTGCAAGGTCATTTGGGGCAGGGGGCAGTGTTCCTGCCTCTGAGCTGGTCGATCCAGGGTTTCAGTCGCGTCCAGGAATTGATAGTCAATGAAACAGTGCAACCAAACAGGTTTCCAGACCAAAGATAACACAGTGTGGGGCTGGAGGAACACAGCAGGCCAGGGCAGCATCAGAGGAGCAGGAAAGCTGACATTTCGAGTCAGGACCCTTCTTCAGAAATAGGGAAGGGAGCTCAGAAATAAACAGAGAGAGCAGGGATGGGGCTGGGGAAGGCAGGTGGGATGCTGATAGGTGAGTGCAGGTAGGGAGTGGTGGGGATTGGTCAGTGAGGTGGGAGGAGTGGATGGATGGGAGAGAAGATGGACAGGTTGTGTCAGGTCAAGGAGGCAGGGAAGGGAGGGAGGGTTGGTCATGGGATGAGGCCGGGGGTGGGGAGATTCTGAAACTGGTAAAGTCTACATTGAGACCATTGGGCTGCAGGCTCCCAAGGCGGAATATGAGGTTCTGCTCCTCCAGTTTGCGGGTGGCGTCGTTGTGACACTGGAGGAGGCCAGACCAAATGTGCATGTGAAAGGTGACTGTTACCAAAGCAAGCTGTCTCTTAGTGTGAATTAATTTTGCTGTCTCCAGGAGGCGTCGCTTAAAATCTCTGAAGCATGGTCGAACTGGTGGGGGTGGGTGTTTGGGAGAAACCTAGGGGGATGTGAGAGGAAAAACAAATCATGGAAGCTGTTGCAGCCATTGCTTTTTCAAATTTTATTCTTAGCACTTTGGATGGAAGGACAACCAGTTGGGGATGAGGCCTCTGGCCAACTCTCAAGATGAAATGCAATTGGTTGGCGAAGGTTCCTCCACTCTTTCCCAATTGGTTGCCGGAAGGCAGGGCGCCCAGAGGATAGGCCAATAAGGAGCGAGCTGGAGGGGCAGTGATCCATACACCCTCAGTGGGGGGATCCATGAGGTGTGCGCGTGCAGTGACCTACGACCCCAGGGATCAATGTGTTGGCGCGGCGATTTACATGCTCAGATCCTCTCAGAGGGAGCCCACCCGCTGTAGAAGCAACGTCGGTGGGGTGGGCTGGCAGGTTGAAAGGTCATGTGTTAGAACCTACCTGTGATACACCCAACCCCACCCCCTGAAAGTTGACGACCCTCCCGGCTGTAGACCCAGAAATCCTATTTCAGGTCAAGTCTGATTGAGCCAAGTCTGGAGCTAAGGTTCAGATTGGGTGGATGGAGAGTCCCACTCATGGATGGCACGAGGACTATGGGGGGGCTCAGATTTAAAGTTATGGGCAAGAGAGGCGAGAGAATCCATCAGGAACGATTTGCCGGAAACAGCAAGCGGTACTGAGGTGGTGAAGGATTGTGAAATAAAATTGGATGGGTGTTTGAGGGAAATAAAATTGCAGGGTTAATGGGAGCTTTGGAAAAGGGGCTAAGTTGCTTTTAGGGTGAA